GGATTGAGTGCTAACCTTAGCTGTTTTGTTTTCAGATTCTGATGAATTAGGGTTAGACATTGTTACAGGAGTTGAGCTCCCTGAACTAAATGTGATGTCAGAAAAAAAACAGCTGCGATGTAAATTTGGTGAATTACTGAGCATGTCAAGTTTTCTTTTTTTTTGCAGGTGTTTGTGTGTGTGCAAGAGTGTAACTCAGATGATTTTACCTGTGATAGTGTTACTTCCATTCAGCTGGACGGAAACTGAGGGAGTAAGGGAGGAGGCGAGGGGGGAGTCGGAGCGAGTTGCAGCAGAGGGAGTGATGCTTGCGGAGGAAGTAGGAGAAGAAGAGGTCGAGGTGGAGTCGGGGGAGAATGTAAGGTCGGGGAAGAGGACGTTGGAGAGGGGGGTGGTGGTGGGTGTGGTGGAGATTTCGGGAATGGTTGTCAACTCATCAGACGTGGTTGGGATGGAGGAAGGGGAGGGAGAAGAAGGAGAAGTGGTAGGAGAAGGAGAAGGGGAAAGGGAAGGAGAAAGAGAAGGAGAAGGAGAAGGGGAAGGGGAAGGGGAAAGGGAGGGAGAAAGGGAAAGGGAAGTAGAAAGAGAAGGAGAAGGAGAAGGGGAAGGGGAGGACTCGGGGGAGGTGTCAGGGGAGGAGGTGGAGGTGAGGTCAGGTGGTGAAGACGAGGTGAAGGTGGGATCAGAGCCGGAGCCAGACAAGATATCAGGAGGAAAGGAGGATGGGAGGAAGGTGGGGGAAGAGGAGGGGGAAGTAGGAGGTAAAGATGTATCAGGTGGAGAGCCAAAGGAAGGGGAGGTGGTTTCCAGGGAGTCGAGGTCTATAGGATCTATTGAGGTCAAGGAGGCGGGGGAAGATATGGCATGGGGGGGGGGGTCGTGGGGCGTACAGTAGGTGTGAGCAAGCCAAGTGACAAAATGGCCCAAAGATTCAACGACCAAGACACATCAAAGCGAAGGGAAAGAAGCGCAAGTACGAGCGAAAAGCGTTTGGATGGTAAGCATTGGCGGTTGTGGTTATGGTGGCGCGGTTGGATGAGAAAAAAAAAAAACAGGAGGAAAGAAACGAAAGAAAATCAGAAGAGAAAAAGATGGAAGAACAAGCAAAAAGCCACAAGAAACGATAGAAATAAAAAAAAAAGGTGATGAAGAAAAGTAAAAGAAGACAACTTTTTCCACATCAGTTTCCCCCCCCCCTCCCCTCAACCGCCACTCATCCCTCTTTCTGACATTTTTTTTCTCTTCTCTTTTTCTCGTTACCTTGCACATGGAGGGTGTACTCCCCCAGGCCGTCGCCGATGCCGTTGTTAGCGTTGCAGAGGTAGACGCCATCATCTGTTTTGTTGAGCATCTCGAAGCGCAACAAAGCACCGTCGACCTTGGCCAGTGGAGGGAGCTCTCCATCCTTCTTCTCCCACACGTAGGAGGAGGGCCTGAGACAGGGGAGAGAAAAAGATGACACAAAGAGAGAATAAGAGTCCTGAGGTGAACTGTGTGTGCTCTGCTCGAGTAAGTTAAAGTAAAAATCAAAAGAGGGGCGATGTGATGAGAGGAGAAGGGGCGCTGTGACAAGTGCTGCAGGAGGGATGAGAAGAAAAAAAAACATGAAATGATCAAGGGGTAAAGTAAAGATGGAAAGAGAAAGAGAAGAAACAGTCAGAGGAGAGGAGAGGCTGGGAGGGACAATGATGAAAAAAGAAAAGATAAAAGCAAGAGAGGAGAGCAAAGTGAGAGCAAATAACAAAAAGAGATGGATGTAAAAGAAACAAAATAGAGAAGGAGCTGAGGGAGAATTAACAACTTTGTGGATTATAAGACAATGGGCCTCTGGGCACAGACTTGTACAAGGCCCCACAACCTTCCTCCATCAGAGAACGACTCTACTTCATTCTTAGGCACTCTTTGTCATTAGTTTGTGCTCTTTTTGAATGTTGTTTTTCTTGTCTCTATGAAGTTGTTTGTGCCTCTTTGTTGGTGTTTTGTGGCTCTGTGGAGTCTTTCTCATCGCTAATTAGCTTTTTTTTGTATTTTTTTAGTTGCTTTGCTTGTCTTTATGTTTTTTTTGTGACAATTTATAGTGCGTTTCAGTCTCTTTGAAGTTATACCACATCTCTTTATGGTTGCTTTGCAAAACTTTGTGGTTGGTTTGTGTCTCTTTGTAGTTGTTTGGTTGCTCTTTGTAGTTTTTGTCTCTTTGTAGTTTGATTTTTGTCTCTTTGTAGTTGTTTTGTGTCTCTTTTAAGTTGTTTGGTTGCTCTTTTAAGTTGTGTTTTGTCTCTTTGTAGTTTTTTTGTCTCTTTGTGGTTGTTTTGTCTCTTTGTAGTTTTTTTGTCTCTTTGTAGTTGTTTTGTGTCTCTTTGTAGTTTTTTTTGTCTCTTTGTGGTTGTTTTTTTGTCTCTTTGTAGTTGTGATTGTATATCTTTGTTGTGTTTTGTCTTTTCTCTTATTTTTCTGTGTCTGTTTTGTACATATCTATGAAATTGTTCAGGTTTGCTGGTAGTCGTGATCTCTTTGTAGTTTTGTTTGCTTTTGTGCAATTACATGAGTCCTTTAAGTGTCTCTTTTTTGGTAATCTGTCTCTTTGTTGTTGTTTTTATCTCATTGTAGTTGTTTTGGTCTTTTCAAACATATGTTTGAAGTTGTTTGGGTGACGGTGCAACTCTTTACTGTTGTCTCTTTGTGGTTGCTTTGCTCCTTTCTTCTTTTGTTTTTTTGTCTCTTAAGAACCTTTTGAAGTAAATGTTTGAATTGCCTTGCGTCTTATTCTAATAGTTTGTGTTACCGTTAGTGTTTTGTTTCTCTTTGTTGTTATTTTACTTAATCTGTGGCCACTTTGTGTCTTACTATTGACTTTCAAACATGAAAAGCTAACAGTCCTTTTAATCTGAGGCTGGTGGCCCCCCTGACCCCTTTGGCCCAGTGCCTGTAGGCCATCAGTAGTCCCTCCATAGAATGACTGAGAGAGGGAGTGCACTGAAAGTTTTTGCGGAAGTAAAAAAGAAAGGATGAACAAACACAGAAAGGAGGATGGGGTTCAGAGAAGTGTCGCAGATTTTTTTTATTTTTAAAAAGAAGAGATTAAAAGAGATGGAAAGAGAAGAAGACAACAGAACAGAGATCAGCATTTCAAATCAGGCTGTGTTAAAAAAAATCCATTCTGCATAACAGATTGTGTATGAGAGAGATAGCGAAACGGGCCCTGATAAAAGAATCAATTATGTAAATGTGCGGGTCCTTAAGCGCTGTACAGTAATTACAATGACGGGGAGCCTGAATCGAGGACAGACCTAAGCGGGCTGGACTGATTAATCGCTCTTCAAAAAATTTAAAAAAAATCTCAGTGACACGTAAAGGTGCAATCTGTAAATTTCACCATGGAGGCCATGTGGTTATTTGTGGTTGTGCAGGAGCTGATAAAGGCAGCAACAGTACATCATCACCTCTTTCAGGGTCCTATATTAGGAACTAGTTTGATGTCTTATAGAGGCAAAACCTACAACGACTCTCTCTGTTGTTGCCGCTGGGAAAAATTCAGAGAGGAAGCTAATGAGAAACATGATTTTCTCCCTTGACACCTGCTGCTGTGCAAACACAAGGGAGACAGAGAAGAAGAAGTTCAAAGTTTTGAATATGTGTCATTTAGGGAATATTCAGCTTAACAATGTAAAAAAAAAAAAAAAAAGAGCTCAAAGTTCAGTTAGCTTTCCTGAAGCTAATCTAAAAAATTAATATTCAACCATAAGGCACTTTCAAAAAGCATGTCTCTTCCATGTTTGACTTCACTGTTTTGTTACCTCCAATAAAATGTAATCAGCTGTTGTACAACGCCGCAGCCAAAATTATAGATAATGTGCAATTAACTGAACAATTAACTTCACATTCACAGGCTGTAACTGGTGTCGTGTTGTTAAACAAAATGCTTAAAAGTCAATCTCTGTTAAGTGATTGGCTAGACGATCACTGATAAATTCAACCATGCATGTCTGAAATCTATCCCGTTTTTTTATTCTTGGCTATGAGCTCAGCTTTGCAGGAAACTTTTCACTTAGCATGCATGCATTAATAAACACTGCACAAAAGTCATGATATGCTCCGAGACATTATTTTATTGCAATTATGGGTATACTTTGGTGCTGGATTTCCCTCCCTCTCTCTCATCTATAATCATAATCACTGTAAAAAAAAAAAAAAAAGCCAAAGGGTGTTTTTTTCCTCCTTAATTATTAACATGAGAATCGCTAAGTAATGTTAATGTCTTCAATCTTTGTAATCCAAGACTTAATTCTACACAAAGTATCCGTCATCTGATCTGTGTTTTTACAGTCATTAAAGGATAAGTCTGGTTTTATTTTGGCACTGGTTCCTACAGAAGATGGACAAACTTAAACTTCACATCACTTCTTTAAATAAACAGAGACTGAAATCCCCGCAGAGATGTTCAGAGCTTTACTCAGTGCACTTTGTGGAGTTGGTAGTCCTCAACTTGACTGTTTTGATTCAATCAAAGCGAGTGAAGTTTCAAGGCACATCAATCAGCTGTACATCTTTAAAAAAAAAAAAAAAAGCTCTGACAAACCAGCTGTCCCTCCCTCCCTCCTCTGCCAAACGCCAGACAACACGCCGACAAAGTCAGCAGCTAGCCGGTGAAGATAGCGGAGCACTTATCTACTCAAGCGACATATATTTCCCTCAGGAGGTAGTTGAGACCAAATCAAAGCTAAAAGAAGAGTGAATATTGGTCCAGCGCAGACTCCACATGAATGCTGATTTTGCTGTGAGGCTGCCTGATGCGTAAACAAGCCTCTGTTTGCGAACTTGTTCCCCTGAACAACTTTAGAAAGAGATAAAATGTTATGTACAACTTATTGCTCTGCCCCTAAGTGGACAACAGAATCAATAGGGAGGCTTTACGATGGGTCAGAAATATATAGTTTAATTTACAGAAAGCCATTCCTACTACTGTAGCTGTGAGAGGTAACCCAAACACAAACATACACAGGAGCTGCATTTATTCAGGGTTATTTTGAGCCGTGGATTAACACATTAGTTGAGCTTTAAGTGTTTACAGAAGCAGAAGAATGTCTGTAGGTTGATTAAAAATACACCAAAGTGCTCTCTGCATTTCATCCACATGTTCATTTTTTTACAAGAAAGGTGACTGTGTAATTGACTCGGAGTCAAAAACGAGAGCAGAAGAAGGGATGTTGAGCTTTGGGATTCACAGTTTATACTTAGGAGTGTCAATTCATGTTTGTTTTAGTCTCTTCAGGGGATTTGTAAAGAAGAAAGATACGCTGAGGAATATGGCCGACCTCATCCGCTCACAGGTTACAGATTAATGTAATCCTGTTACATGTCACCTGCTGTTTCTTTTTTTTTTTTTTACCGTGACCTCGCACACATGACGAAGCTCGCACGCAACAGAGCCCGAGTCGTGCGCACAGCTCCTAAGACGGAAGAGTGTCAAGTGAACGCTCTTAGGAAGTTAAACTCGGTTAAACGACTTTAAACTCTGAAATGTGATGCAACTGCTGGGCCGCCGATTGAATAGATGGGAAATATAATAGAATGTAGAGCACGACTGTCTTTCTCGTCTGTTAGGCGTCAAAGCAACACAGTGTAGAATTTGATTGGGTAAGTTTTTCTCTTTTGAACCTGACAGGATGTGATCGCACTTGAGAAAAAAAGTGTGTGTCATGGAAGATGGAGTGCGACGTTCTTTTTGAGTTTGATTGGGGAGGGCAGCTCGGGAGGTGGAGGTGGAGGGGGAGGGGAGGAGGGATCTGAGTGGCTGCGTTCAGTCGGAGCAAAAGAAGGTGTCGTCGCGGTGATTGGGTTTTGACTGACAGCTCCGGGGGGCAACCTGTATCTGATTTGATTGGACACCGGCTCATCCAGAAGCGGCGGTGCACATAACCGAGCATGCTCTTTCTATCTATCTGGAATTCACTACCCAGACACACTTTCTTTCCTTCTCTTGTTTGCGCTCCCTGTCTCTGTCTTAGTCATTCGCTGCTTGTCACCAAATCTTCCTGTCTCCTCTCCCGCCTACGCTTCTCTCTCCGCTCCCCTCCACCTCTCCCTCTTCTGTCGGTTTGTATTCCTTCCCTCTCTACCTCCTTCTCTCTATACGCTCGCTTTCTTTTTTAACATACAGCCTTTGCCACTCGGCAGACGCTTTCATCCACTGCCTCTCCCCGTGCTATGAGTTAAGTACATTTTTAGAATAGGAGAGCCCATTGGGAGCTGAACCCTGAACCCTCGTACTGTCAGGGCCCGTTTCAAACTACAGAAGAGTCTTTTATCCCCATAGAGCAACACTTTATATAGAACATACATCATTTAATGGATGCTTTCATCCACACACTCTAATTGTATCACAAATAAATAGATTTCTCGTCTAGGTGGTCCCTGCGAGAGTTGAACCTGTGACCCCCCCCCCCTGCACATTGTTCACGCCTCGCTCTTCTCCTGTCGACAGTTTTATCGACCGCCTCGCTGACTGTAAACGCACGCTCACGCTATGACAGTCACCTCCTCCTTCCCCGCCCCCTATCTGTCCAACTGCCAATCAAATTAAGCGGCTAATCTTATTCCTATAGCGGCTTCCTGTGATGAGCTGACGGGATGGTGGGGGGGGTGGTTGATAGAAGGAGGTGGGGGGGAGGGAGGGTGGCGGTTTAGAGGGAAAAGGTGTGAGGCGAGATAGAGGAGAGTTATAGAGAAAAGACGGGGGAGGAGGGGTGGAGGGCGAGGCGTCGGCGGTGACAAGACGGAGGGGAGAGAACGAGCCGTGAGTGACACAGCGGTGCAGAGATGCACGATGATGGAGGGAAGGAGGGAGGCAGAGAGGAAAGGGGGGGATGGAGGGGGGGGAGGGGGGGGGATCGATGGCTCTGGTTGGCTGGAGGTTCATCTATAATGTAGAGAAGCCGGGGGAAAGAGTGAATCTGTGTGGGCAGCTTTTAAGACGGGCTGGAGTTTGTTTTGGTGTGTGTGTGTGTGTGTGTGTGTGTGTGTGTGAATATTTGTGTTCACACTGTATCAGTGAACACCTGTACGCTTGTACGAGCAGGTGTTTCCTGCTTACCGCGCTCCTGCCTGTGAGTGTGTTTACATGTCACGTTTAAACGAGAGCCTATCTGAACGAGGAGGTGTCATGTGTGACTTGTTGTGTGCAGATCGTCACAGCTGCTCCTGGCACAAAATGTGTGTGTGTGTGTGTGTGTGTGTGTGTGTGTGTGTGTGTGTCATTTTGAAGGATTTTTTTTTTTGATTGTGTACTTTGACGTCTAATTTCAGCCTCTTCCACTGCACAGCTCTACATCGCACATTTTGTACATGTTATGTTTTTTTTATTTTAATGTTCATTAAATGTTTTTATTAAGTCAAATTCCTTGTATGTGTAAATGTACTTGGAAATAAAACCCGATTCTGATTCTGATTCTGATTCTGATTCTCTTCAATCAAATGTGACCTTCGTCATGACCGGGAGCTTCGATTGGAGCTGCAGCAGCTCGTCAGCCTCGTTTGTTACATCAGAATGTGCTCAGTAAGAGAAAACAGGTCATATATATGAAATCTTTTTGGATATGTTTTGAGATTTCCTTCACCTAAGAATGACATTTAGGATTTGCACCATGATTAAGTCAAGAGATAAGATAAGTCCTGAGTTTTTGGGAGGGGGGGTTTCTGATAGGAAATGTTTTTTTTTTTAGATAAGCATGTTGGATGAGGTCATTACTTATAGTCCGATTAACACCTTGAGACGTGAGAATAGATTTAAAGAGACATCTTGACTGGACTTGTCGCTGCCTTTATAAGACATTTGTTTCATTGGATTTCATGACGGACGATGTGTTCCACCTCTTTTTCTGAGAGCATGCGTATAACTACCTGATCTACAGACTGAAACCAGAACGCTTACAACACAACGTTTTTTTTTTTTCTTTTTCTTTCCACTTGCCTTTAGAATCCTGCATCCACATACAGATGTCTGTCTATAGAGATTAACTCTGGCAGAGAAGGGATGATAAAAATGCAAAGAGATTATACAAATACTACAGAAACCCCTGACTGAACTTTCCACCACAAACTGAATGAAATGACAACATCAGTCATCTGATCAAATACTCAAATGACATAAACACATATTGACCTGTTGTGTTTGCTTAAAGTCAACATTGGTTTCTTTTCACCATAACCACTAACCTTTCCTAACTTTAACTGATCAGTTAGATTAATAGGCCAGTTAAAGAAACCTTGACCATAAAGGCGGGAGTCCAGAAACTCATACGAGCAGTTTAAGAAGGCAACTGAAAGCACTAATAGAACCAGTAATGAATCAATTATGAAGGCCTACTTCTGTTGGTCTGACGTACATAAAGTACCAACCACATTTATCAAGAAGTCCTGTCACTCATAAGACTTACAACAATCTATCCCTGTAGGTCAGCGGTTCTCAACCCTTTTGCTTAGAACCCCCCTCACTGTAAAAAGTGACACATTGCAGAGAGACCTACATTTCAATTTGTTTCATTATATCTTGAATTACGAGCCTGGCTGACTCAGAGGGTTTATATTTTTGAGGGAGGAAACATGTTCGTATCTTTTGCAGAGTTTTTATCGACTCATCTTCGAATAAACTATCCACTAAGTGAGTCATCATCACTGAGGTTTCTTACACGCTAATCTACATTTGACAACCTGAGGAAAGACAGAGCCTCGCTGTCTGTATGAAATGTTTGGTAGAGACAGTGAATTAACTTTGAGTGTATTTCTGTGTGAGTGTGCGTGTGTGTGTGTGTGTGTGTGTGTGTGTGTGTGTGTGTGTGTGTCTTACTCGGGATTGCCGTTCCCCTTACACTCAAGATGAAACTTATCTCCCTCTCTGGGTAGATCGCTCCCAGGCGAAATCTGTACGTTAGGAGGATCTAAAGGAGGAGAGGAAAAAAACACACAGATACACACAGAGTAAAAGTTACATAACACAGAACTCATACCTGAACAGACTTGGACACAGCTCCGATAGTCTCATTCATCCTTGCCTCCATCTGCTCCCATCTACATCCTGTAGGCGTCACCCTCTCTCTGCCTCCCACAATGACATAACCCCCCTTACACAACTACATCACTTTCTCCCTGCCGCGCAGTACCGCTGAGTCGCCCACATGGTGGCAGCACCGACACAGACTCCGCTGTGGATCTATTCCTGGTTTCATTTCAGATGATAACGTGCTCTTTTTATCCACAGTGACTCGAGCCTGTGCGAGAGCAGCGGCAGAGGAAGGTGAAATTCCTGTGCGGTCACTATTCCAGGTAGCTAATGTGAAATTATTGGAGCACTGTAAATGAGGAGAAATGTGCCTGATATCAGCGACTAGTAAGGCAGGTATAAAAACACAGAGCAGTTTGAGATTTCACTTTGTAAAAATGTCCCTGCCCTCTACTTTTTTTTTTTTTTTTTTTCCCAGCATCCTCTGCATCCCCCCTTCCCCACTCAAACCCCATTTCCCAGTGGACTCACACAGCACCCGCAGGGCCTGCTCGCTCCTCTTGCCCCCCGAGGCCAGGGAGGGATGGTCGACGGCGCAGGTGATGAGGGCGTTGTCGTCGCTGCGACTCACCTCCAGGTCGAGCTCGCTGCTCACGTTGTATGTGGGATCATCTGGAACGGACTCCACCACGTCTGGACGTCCTGAAGTGGAGAGGGGGGGGGGCGAGAAGAAGGGGGGAGAGGGCGGTCAGGAGGGAGGTGTCTGCATCTTAAACGGAGACACTGATACAAAAACACACATACGCTGCAGCACTGAAAATGTTCTTTAAGTGTAATTAGGATGTTGCTGGTGCCATGTTGGAGGACGGCACAGAACTGCAATGACCCTCATTTGTTCCCATTAAATGAAAAATGTCGTCTCTGTGCGGTTACCTTGCACCTCGGGGTGTTTTGTCCCGCTATCTATCACCATATGCCACATACACTGTGAGTTCACCAGTGCGGTATAATTCCACACATCTCTACAGCAGTATTTCTCCCTTTTTCTGGCACATGAAGGATCAATTTATTCTGCTGACTCATTCACTGATGTACACAAATGATTCATCCACTAAAAAGTGATTTTAGGACAACCCTAAAACTTTGCGTCATGTAATATCTGCAGGACTATCTTTAGCTCGAAGGTAATAAGGATTAACAGGAATAAAAAAGGGTCTGAGGGAAGTGTTTCTTTTCTTTTTCTAAAGGTTTGAGATGATTAGTTCATTAGTGGATCAACAGAAAGTGTTTGCATAATGGTTAGTGTTTTAAGACATTCTTCAAGCTTTAATGTAAAAAAATGAACTGGTAGGCAGGGCGCTGGTGACGCAGTGGATGGTGTGCGCGCTCCTTGTGCGGAGGCTGTGGTCCTCCATGTGGGCGGCCTGGGTTCGGGTCTGACCGGTGGACCTATATTCCTGACTGATGTACCTGATTTAAGGCTTTGTCCACTGTCCTATCTCTAAAAATAGAGGCAACAAAAAGGGCCAAAAATAACAGGCCAAACACTATGTCTTCAAATGACTCTTACTGTGACTGACAGTCCAAAAAATTAGTGATATTCAATGTGCATCAATATTAAACAGAAAGTGCAACAAGTCCTTTTTAAGTTTAATATTGATGTACATTGAATATTACTAATTTTTTGGACTGTCAGCCACAGTAAGAGTCATTTGTAGACATCATCTTTGGTCTTTTTCCTTCATTTCTGACATTTGTCTGGATTAAAATATTAATGCAGTTAAGAAGAGGCTTATTCTCAGATGAAAATATGACGACAATAATCTTTTGTGCAGTCCTAAATGTGTACCAAAGTGCTGTGATTGTGGTGAAATGTTCTCCCTAAAAGAGTATAAATTACTCCAGAATGTGTCAGTTTCACATTCTGCCACAACATCCGTATTCAGAAGAAAAACCTACAAAGACAAATCGCCCTTTCAACGCCACATGACGACATCCTCAAAGCGGGGAGAAATATCAATGTTGCGTGTCTGCAGCTCCGGATGGCAGCTACAGTTAAAAGTGAAAAATCCAGTGCCCAGAATACCCCTGTAATGTAACACAAGTAAACAGCACACAGCATGCCCGCTCATGTTTACTAACCAGGCCATGTCTGTGATGCTTCATGCTGAAGGACACCAAAGAGACCAGGGAGGCTAAAGATCTGATGCTGCTGCGTCCAGCTTTTTTTTTTTTTCTTTTTGGACTCGCTGTTGCTTAGGAGACAGCTTGCATTTCACATGATGTAATGCAAGAGTGAGAGGACGGAGAGGCAGCTATACCCACGAACGGAGCTTTATCTTTGCAAACACTGAGACTCTACAGCATCTTAACTGCAATCTGTTGCGGCCGTACTTTGTTATTCGGAGTGATAAAACAGGTCTGTTCTACGGTTTATGTTAAGTCGTCAAATGCATACTTTCCCGCTTGCTGCTGTTTCCTTTTTGTTATTTTTATTTTACACTTTAGGCAGCAGCTGCAGCTGTGCTTGCAGGAAGAAAAAAGAATCAGAAGAAAAAGAAGGCAGGTGCGTGTGTGTGTGTGCGTGCGTGCGTGTGTGTGTGTGTGTGTGTGTGTGCGTTTGTGTCCTTGCAGCAGCACTAAGCGCAGAGTAAGACAAATATGAAAGCATAAAAACAGTGCAGACTGTCATCCGGAGATCGCACTCTATTGTAGGAAAAAAAAAAAACATCAAACCGGGTGGTCAGAGCGTGAAAGTGGTTGGTGAATCTTGGAAAGTGGACCGGAAACTTATCACTTTCTCCAGCATGAACCTGCACACGCACACACACACACACACACATGCACACACACAAGCACGGGCACATGTAGGTCAAGCTCATGAATAACATATACACAGAGGAGACGGAGATAGAGGCAAGGGAGCAGATTGGAAAACACACTTCTTCCTCTCTTTTCTCGCGCGCACATGGATATCATGGACCGCTCCTCCTCCTACCTCCCTCTCCAGAGAACTCTCCAAATACCACTGAATCTAATGACATCTCTCTTTTTATTACCATAACCAGTCCTCTGACCCGCACAGAAAATTAGTTTACTTTCCAGGTGCATTTCAATAATCCCACGCCACTCAAAGGAGTCTTTTCGTCACTGTCTGCCTCTCTCGCCCTCCTCCTCCTCGCTCCCCCTCACTCTCTCTCTCTTTCCATCAGCGCACACAAATACAGACAGTATACAGCCTTTATTAAAGACCATGGATCCCCAACACCAGGCCTGGGAATGGAGAATGGAATTTGTTTACTCACCGGCTCCTGTGTACCTCATACATTTGAGCTTTAATAAGTTTCTCAGGCCCAAAGGGTCATGGGAGTGACTCAACAGCGTTCATTAAGGGGAAAAAATAAGCTGCAGTCAGTATAAGGGCCCCCTTTTTCCCGAGACAGCAGTGATGCACATTTATTCATAATTCGCATTTCCTCAGTTTATTATGAGATAATCAGGGTAGATTTGCATGTCAGCTGCTGCAAGCGGAGCAACAAGCAAGTCGCTTAGGAAAAGCAGCAACAGGTTGTGTTGCTCTTAAAGGGCCAGTTCACCAAAACGATGAACAAACAAACAAGCCCTGCAGATCATTTCAATTCAGTTAGTCCAGGGTTTCTAGTTATTCGTGTCTCCACCAGGACACATTTGAGTGAGATGAAATTCTCACTCAGAATTGAAAAGAGATTTTCCACAGTAACATCTCTCTCTCCAGAAACAGGGTCATGATTACGCCGTATAATCCACAGAACAAGCTGTGTAAAGTATTTCAAATTCAAACTAAGGAGTGATGTTTCTCTGCAGAAACTTTGTTCCGCTGAAAACTGTGTGGCCCTGTTTTTTTTTTTCTTCTTCTTCTTCTACTTTTTTTGTGGATTATTCTAACAAAAACCAGAATGTGTTTTCTGGAAACAGTGGGTGCTGTTGAATTTTTAAAAATGTTATTTTTCATTGCCGTGAGCACCAAAAAATGATGGCGGTCTATTCTCAACCATTCTGACAGGATAGAGGCAGAAAAGCTCAGCAACATCTCCAAACTTTGACAAATAAAATACAAACTATCCGAGAGGCTAGACACTCGATGTGAGTGAGAATGTCAGTAAAATCAACCCCTTAAAACTGGATTCAACAACTTTAAAAAATCACGTCTCCTTATATGTTTTCATGAATCAATCGTGTAACAAATTAACTGTGAGGCCGAAATGCATTAAAAGGGATTTATTTAAAGAAGAACATGCTGTAGTTAGTGACTTTGTGCTCTGTTAGCCATTGTACTTCAACATACTGTACATACAATTCATCTATTCAAACCTGAGTAGATGAATTATTTTAGACGATGTTTGTAGCCATAACAAGTCCATGAACTATATGGACATCACCACATTTGTTTGACATCATGCCAAGGACATCTGTGTAAAATTACAAGCCCATGGACCAAAGTTATTAAAAACTGCTGTTTTTTTTGTTGCCTTCTTCCTCATAACAAGTTCCAACTTCCTCATTCGTCTAAACTGCTGCCACATAACTTGCTGCCGAGTCACTTTAAAACTTCTCACTTTAACTTGCCAGTCACTGCACAGAATGTCTAAAATGTTCTTCATAGTTCACTTTACTCCTTTATCTACCAGTTGTGTACACCTCTTATTTTATTTGTATTTATCTTATTTATTCGGTTTCTATTTTTATTTTGGACTACCTGCTTGATAATTGACTTTGTGTTGCTGCAACGCCCAATTTTCCCCTCTAGAGATAAATAAAGTATTCATCATATCGTCTCGCATCGCATCTCATCTCACCTAAACTCTAACCCTAATCTGGTGTGATGTCGATTCAGTGGATTTTTAGACGTTAAAACAGCAACAATTGTATTCTTATTTTAAACGAGAAATGAAACAGATCATTTGTAGAGATGATCACCTGACTCTTCAGCATCTCTCAGCTCAACACTGTACTTTAAACGCCTTTGAGCTCATTGTTTTTGTTGTAAGGGACGGGAGTTTTCTCTGTTTTCTTCACAGTACTATTTCCAACTGCAGTAGACAAAACCTGCTTCACTTATAAAGAAAAAAAGAAAGCCAGCACCCAACTCTAGATCATCATGCAGACGCAAACACAACTCCAAATGAACTACAATGCTGCTCCTGCTGGGTATGTATATGAGCAAAGGATTATTACTGCACCATGTTCAACATATTCACTTCATAAGGTGAGAATATGTAAATGTTGCTTGCAGCTTGTTACCGCTGCTCCCATGTGGCCAGAAAATCAATTAGAGCAGGTTTTTATTAATGTGTGTAAAAATTAAAGTTTAGACACTCAGGCTAGTTAAGAGGCTGGTTCGCTGCATCCAGCTGATGGTGTCGAGGTTAAAAGTAAAGGTTTGAGAAGTGATGGTGGATCAAAGCAGCACATATCTATCAGCATAAATTAAAACTCAGCCGTAACTGTAGCGAAGCATGTATAGATTATTGCCTTTTTCAAGGGCTTATATTGGAAGACAGCACTAGTGGATTGTTATAATGGGCGCATTAACCCAAGTTATATGTCATGTGCTGTGTCAGGATCAACTGGGAAATCGATCAATTTAGCACAGACATGTGGACGTTCAGCTGCAAGGAGCACTGAAGGCTGGTGTTGTTAGCAATGCTAACCTCAGCCGCTCT